ATTCGCACAGAGTTAAGGGGCAACTGGGATACGAGATACAGAATACGAAATACGGAATATGGAATATGGTGGAGGCAGCACAAGCTACACAGAGGCAACACAGACAACAGACGACAGACAGCAGACGACAGATATGTATGATGAAATACAAATTAAATTTCCATGGTACGAAAAAATCAGATATGAAATGTAAAGCGTAACACGCGGATAGGGGCTGTCATGGGAGAGGGAAGCGGCCAGAGGAGGAGGCCGCGGGATCAGAGGAGGCGGGCCACACATATGGGCGGGGCAAAAGCCCACTTCATCAGCGAAACGCTTCCCCTTCCGCCTTTGAGCTTCTGTTGATATCCTGGATTTATTTCCAGGGGTTCTTAAGACTAACCAGGCCTCCGGCTTGAGGGAAAACAAATATTTTTAATGAAAATTTATTAAATTTTATTTTATTTTAAACATTAAAGCTTAAAGTGAAATCATAATAAACGACAGAGAAATTATAGAATTATTTTTATATCTTTCAATTTTTATTATTACTGTGGATATTAAATAAACTAAAATAGCTGAAGCTAAAATAGCTTCTGTAAAATAGCAATATTTAATATTTAAATAAGATAAATTAATGTTATAACTATTTGGTTCTTAAATAATGCCTTAGGTAACTCCTCGGTCTAAACACTTTAAAGTACTTCCTTGTTTTCTTTTCCAAAAATTCAAAATTGAAAGCGCACAGCAATTGAAGTCAGAATTTAAATGGATCTCCCGGCACCTCCCCTCACTCATCAGCACTTGTCTCAAAGCTCCGAGCCCCCATGTGTCTTACTCATTGCAAAAGCCGTTCGTACCCCTGCCCCCCAATCTTCCTGCCCCCCTCTTGGTCCCCACTATCATTGTGTAAATGCGTAAAAAGGCGTATAATTTGCATGAGATTTGATTTCACACCGACAGCCAGGACTCAGGAGGCAAGAGGACTTGGAACCAAAAATTTGCTACACAAGTGTTCCAAAAATTGGGGCGGGTTTTTTTTTATTTTTATTTTTGGATTGAAAAGAAAATACTTTTTGGAGGGGTTGCGGCAACTGTCTGGGGGCTGGGGCTTCTGCCTATCCGAATTTTGAGAAAGAGTCATGTGTAAAGCTCAAAACTCTCGAAAAACAATCTAAATATAAACAGCTTTTGTCTAAAAGTGGGGGACAATAGAAGCTAAAAGTGTTGGAAGTTGTTCAGAGAAAGAGGTGTATGAAAACAAATATAAATCTTAAGTATTGTTATTTTTTTAACCCTATATATATATATATATATATAATTTTAAGAAACTGGCTAACAACCGTTTAAAGGCCTAAGGCCTAAAAAATATTACCTAATTTGTTTTTATGAAAGTTGGCAAAATCTACATTTTGAAAATGTATGCTTATTGTTTTTGTGCTCGATGGGATTACTTTCACCCGTTTGAATGCTAAATCAGATTTCCAATGGTATTGGCCATTATCCATTATCCATAACCTTAAAACACCCAGAGCCAAGAGACCTGAGCCTAAAGCCCAGAAACCAGTACCCAAAACCATTCCAGGACCGTCAAACATTTCCGGGTTATGAGTATAAAGTCAAAGCCAGGCAATTGTCAGGATGAAAGCCGCTGAGAAATTTGATGCCATTCGAGATGATTGCAATTGGCAGTGTTGGCTAATGTCTGGTTTTATAGCCAGTACACCTAGCGGCCCCCAGCCACGCCCACAACATGGCGACGGATCATTCCGGGGCTTTCAACAGAGTGCTGTTTGCAATTGACAGTTTCAGATGCCACAGACACAGATACAGATACTGGCGCAGTTACAGATACAGATACAAATACAATACCCGGAGCCACGCAGAGGCGCAGATATTGGTTGCACTGTTCTGAGTACATATAAAAACAATAAGCCACACTGTCGGTGGGGAGGGGGAGTGGGGGCAAAGGACTGGTTCAATGTGCCAAAAAAACAACCAGGCCAACAAAAAAAAAATTTAAGAGAAAGTGAGTGAAAGTAAGAGATACTCAACGGTGGGTTACCCATGAATGTTCGGTTATTTAATAATGGCCAATTCTAAGTAGATATAAACAAACTAATGGGTTTTATAATTTTTTCATATTTTGTTAGTAGTTTATTAAAAGTTTATACAATTTAAAGTAAAAAAAAAAAAAGAAAATCGTGCAAAAGCTGGAATCCTTTCGAGCTAAGCCCTTTTTATAGCATACTTTTCTGCGCCAGTCTTTGGGCTTGTATACCCTTAAATTAACGGTATTTATTGGGTATTAAAAAACCAAAACCAAAGAAGTGACTGCCAAAAAAGGGAATACCAAAATACATACAACAATAAATATTAATAAATTTCACATGATCATAAAAATAAATTTGTGAATCCAACACGCACTGAAGAGCACACACACAGAGATACGGGGAGGAGGATGGACGGAGGGGGACCCAGAGAGTCAATACACATACACATAAGCACACACTGAAACACACAAGCACACACAAAGATATTACATTATAAGGCTTAGCCATAACAAGGCAATCACATTATTAGGCACCCTGCCCCCTTTTCGAGGGGTGTGGCCCCAGTATCCCTGTCTTTGGCTGTCAGGTGCTGGCACACACCCATACGCACACTGGCACACAGTTACATACACACATATGCGCCGTTGTAACGGTAATATAAACATATGCAATAAGGTTATCTTATTACCCTGCGAGCGATGATAAAGAAGCAGAAACCGTAGCCGAACAGCAAATGACAGTACACACACGCACTTGGAAATCGAAGCAAATAATTTCACACCCCACTCTCCAGGCCATAACATCCTTATGCCTTGCCAAACAGAACCTCACCCCCACGGCCCATCCTCCGTCTCGGATCATCTTGAGCTCAAATACCTCGGGGGTTCGTGTGTCAGGGTATGAGTGTGTGCACATCCTTGGTTTGGCATTCGGAATCAATATGCCCGAAAAGGCATTTAAGCCCGGCGAGTCCAGAGATCTTGGCCAAGATCCACCCACTTCTGCCTGGTTTTTGTGGCTCTTAAGTATCTCTGATTGTGACAAGCTACCCTACCAGCGTCTCTCTGCTGGCTAATCCCACCTTTTGCTTGTCCAGGAGGAGTCACTGCCACGCCCCTTTATTGAAACCAAGAGAATGAAGTCCAATTGAAAAGAAATCTGATAGAAAAAAAGTTTTACAGAAAAACGCAAAATTATAGACTTAAGCCTCGAATTGCTTAAAGTTCTTTATACAAATTCTTAAAGAAAGCGTTAAAAAAATCTGCATTTCCATTAAAGTTTCAATCTGAACCTAAAAATCTCTTTTCTGAAATATGGTGTTTTATTTTATATTCAATATGTATATATTCAATATATTTTTATCAATATAGATTTCATCGCATTTCTAGAATGAGGATTAGGAGCTAAAAGGTAAACATGTTATTAGCAAGCAATGACATATTTTTGTTTAAAAGCTTACATTAAAATAAATCTTAAATTAACAAATATTTTTTGTTTAGTTCCATTATTTAATCTTCTTCTTTTGGCTTTTAAAATATTTTAATAAAGTATCTTTATTTTCTCCCTCAACGGTGTCATTATATTTTCAATGAACTAAAAATATGTTAATAAAAAATATCTCTCTATTTAAATTATCCTTTAATTGAAAAAGATAAAAACCTTTGATGGAAAAGACATGCAAACAAAAAATCATAAAACATGAAAAATAAGAAACCGAAGGGAAAATGAAGAAAATGTGGCGACCAAAAAATGGACCAAAATCGATAAGAATGTAATTTGCCATAATTCACAGAAATTTGCTCGGCATATTGGCTTGCTTTTTTTTTATACACACAACGACACACATACATAAAGAGAATTATTGGTATGTGGGTGTGTTGGTGTGCTTTAACAACAACAACATCAAAAACAACAAAAAAGCCACAAGAGAAATAAGAGCAAGAGCGACGCCTAGGAGGGAAGATGAAAATTATTAATGGCTAGGCTATTGGCATTAAAATTACACCTTCTGCCGAAAAGGAAAAGCCCAAGCGCACACAAGCACACAGCCGCCCAAACACAGATTCAAAGATATCAGACCACTACCCCACTGGCCCTCTGGCCCACTGGCCCACTGGCCCACTCCCCCATCCCCACAAGGTATGCATTATATTGACATTCATATTACTTATTTATGCATGGGAAATTAATTTTGATATGTTGATTTCTCGCATGAGCAAGTCCAACATGGAGCGGGCGACTTCCAACGCAATAATCAAACTGCAGGTGACACACACTTCCACACACACACACAAATACATAAATAAATAAACGACGAACACGAACACACAGGGCCGCACTCAACAAGGTTTTTGCAGCGACATCTCGCATGCATGTATTGGTGAGGTTTGCTTTTTTGCACTTCCTATTTCCTGTTCCTGTTTCTTTAAATAATAAATGCCCAGCTGTCAGGTGTAACTTCAGATTGTTTCTTGAATTCTTGACTATATTTTGAACGGAGATTGCTGCGAAAGTCCGTATGCATATTTCAATTCGATTTAATCCTTAAGTTTACTTGTTGAATCTAATTTAGGTGATGACAGGATGGACACATGTTTTCAAAGACTTGTTTTGGTTTTAAAAGTGAAAGCACTGAACAAATGCACAGTTCCTGCTAAGGCATCTTTTACGTTTGAGAGCTCAAGCAATTGGCTATCCTAGTTACTTAATTATCCTTACATTTCTTTTAGATATTGAAAAATAAAGAAATAATGTGCAGTCCCTAAGTCACTAATATAGTAAATCGCAGCTTCACCCCTTTCACCCTTTCCCAAACTAAAACTGTTTTTAAAACTATCTAATACTGCGCCCTTTGAGACTTATCACATATCTTTTTTCCTCCCCCTAGCAAACTATGGATGCACTTTATCAACCCAGTGATACATAATTTTCTTTTACTTGACCAAAAATTAAAAAACAAAATGGTAATTGGTATTTAGGTAAGGCTGTATTTATAGACAGCTGGTCGCAAGTGCGTTATAAACCTTACAAAATTTTAAAAATTAACAGGATTTACAAAAATTTTGAGGGCGGCGAGGGATTGCTCCAAATGCGAAAATATAAACTGAGACGCTGGAGCATTACCTACGCCGGCTCCTGTGTGTATCCTACAAGGGCCCTGATAAAAGCTTAATGACCAAAGGCCCCTCCAAGGATCTGGGCCATGCAGCTGTCTCTCGGCTTGTGGACGTAACGTCCTACTGATTGATTTTGAGGCGTAGCACTCGAGGCTCCTGGCCCTTCGGACATTCGATTGCGTCTTAGAATTCGATCTTGGTTTGAAACAGCTTTAGGGATTGATCCAGAAGCGATGTTATTTGTTTCGGTTTTACTAGAGTTCATCGAGTTGTTGGCGAAACTTCTTCTGGTGTTTTTGATATCGTTGTCAAAATTGATCATGTTGGGGGGTTGAATAATGGGGTTATTAACAATCTTGTTGGTGATGTTTGATCTGACATTCTTGTTGGCATTGGAGTTGGTGGTGTTTCTTGCTAGCTTCCGGTTGCTTCCACCCACGATGGGGTTGTAGCAAGAAGCCTGAAAGTTGGTCAAACGCTCACGGCAAGGTACGGTAGCAACCGATTTGATTACACCTACTCCAACACCTCCTGATCCGTGAGTGTCCTTGTTCCGCTGACCCACAGGCGGCCCGTCTTCGAAGAATTCCTGATAAAGCACAAAGTTATTTCCTTGTGGTACAGTGCGTACCAGACCAAAGTGCTTGGCCAAGAAACTAATCAGCTTCTTGGAAGGACGGTCCACGGAGCACTTGCCAGGTGTCCAGCCCTGATCGGCGAGCATTTTGTCAAAAATAACCTTGCCAAGCCCGCGACGTTGACGCGACTCGTGGATGTAAAAGTCCAGGATGGCAGGGGTCTGTTTCGTCTGGCGGCACCTGCCATCACCGTCAAACAGGAAGAGGTCCTTGTTGCCCACCTTGAGTAATCCGGTTACCGCCCAGCGGCCCGACTCGTCGTCTGCCATCAGATAGGTCACCTGGTTGGTGGTATTGGTGATCATCTTCTCCGCCGAAGTCACTGGAGCTCTCAGCCCTTGAGCTACCGCAGACCGCTTCCCCATCTCATCAATTATCTGGCTTAACTTGCATCCTGGTGTTAGTGGTGCCGTCTTCTTATGGTTTTGATAAATAAGAACGGATTCCCGCGCCTTAGGTCGCAGCAAGTGGGGCTGGACACAAATGATCGACTGCGGAAACAGGTGCTTGATGTCAAACGCAAACTCCACCATTTTTATTGTTTCGTTTTTTAGTGGTTGGTTTTAGAGGATTGAGTTGAAGTTTGTTCAGCCGGCTGATTAATTATGATCCATTCTATGCATAGGCTCCAAGGTATGACTTTGACAGTCTTTTCAGGGCTCCTTGTTTAAAAAAAAACAAAAAAAAAAAGCTGAAACATTCTATTGTAGCTTTTAGAGAAATCAGATTCAAATCCAATTAAAGACTTTAGTTTTATAACGTTGATCCCTCAGCAGTATTACGTCCTTACGGATTGATTTCTGTTTCTGTTGATGACTGGGGACGATGCAGTCCAAGTAGGTGACGAATGGCATGCCGTAGTGAGCGCCAGGAAGCCACATGCTTCAATCTGAAGACATGACACACCCATAGTTGCAGACCGAATGATTAATTCACAAATCTGTAGCAATCGACTTTATGCAAAGATATTATTTTATATTATATGGTAATACAACAACGCTCGAGCTTAGCTTTCTTTTCTGGCTTATATATGTTCCGGGACTGTAACGAATAGAGGTGGGCTACCTATATGATGATCATGAGTTCTTCTTCCGCCCGCCACAGTATCGTGGCGTTAACTCTCGTTAAAAGTTTATTGTTTTAAAGGGTCGCGCCATCCCAAAGGGTCCACTTTGATAAATATATTTTCAAGGAGAATAGAACAACTTCATCCATTTAAACAATTAAGCCTCTTAAGATCATTACTCTGCCGTATAAGAATATTTTTGATAATTTTTCCCTATTTATTAAAATTGTTTCAACAAACAATTATATCGTTGCGATAATGAGCTGGGATTTTTAGTTTGAGCCAAAACTAGTAGCCATTTTATTAGCATCTTAAATAAAAATCGGTCACCCCTTATATTTAATAAATTTTTTCAGGAAAAATTATTTTTAATTTTGTTTATGAAACTTCATTGCTATCAAAGGACTGACTCCAAAATGATAATCCTTTCCAGAATTTGATTTAAAATGGCGGAGAGATTTGTTAATTAAAAATACGTTAGAATTTCGTATTTTATTGTGATGAGCTCTACATTATATTTTGAGTCAAATGTGATAAATTTATTTTTTCCAATCAGATTTTAAGGAAAGTCTTTATTAAGCCAGTTCTGAAAACGCGCTCCTTCGAATATCACTTTGTATGATTTATTTTTAAGATTAGCTTTAAAAGGATTAATGGCAAGTCTCCCGAAGGGGTTGTTGTTTTATTATTTCGCTGGAAGTACCGAAAATTATGCATTTGAATCGCATTAGCATCTTCGATTGGTCGGAGGCCCCTGGGCCATTTTAATCACTGACTTTGTCATTAGTTATGCACGAAAGGCGGCTTGGTAATGGCCTGAAAGCAGTAGTGGGGGGATAAAATTATATATAAATTGAAAGTCTGAAGGGGAAAGCAGAGTAGCAGAGTGTGGTATCCTTTTGAAACTTTGCTCTTTGTCTCTTCTGGAAAAGGAGGGAGGGAGTTTCTAGTTTGCTTCCGTTGCGCTAACTCATTGTGCGCACTTCCTGTCATCCGTCCAGTATCCTGGCAGCCCCCCTCCCTTCCACGTCGGCTGTCGGCTCTTGGCCCTCGCTTGGCCAGAAATCCCAACTGGGATCTAATTGTTTTTAATCACTTTCCAGTTGCCCAAGCTCGTCCGCAAAATGGCTCCGGGCTCACTTGGATTGGCAAAATAATGATTATACGTATATAGCATAATAATCGTAGTCCTGGCTGGCGAATTAGATAAAGCATTTTGGAACTCAACTGAGCAGAGTTATTATTAACAGTGTCCAGTGGTGCATGGAAGTCGGTGGTTTCGATGGTGCATTCCTTTCGACCAGAAACCCAGAAACCCAGAGAGCCAGAGAACCAGAAAGCTTGGCTAAAATATATTTCGCTTTTGGCATTTTGCCGCATCTTCTTGTGTTTATTTAGCATAACTCGAGTTGCCACAACTGAGTGTCCTTGTTGCTGCTACACTTAGTGGGGCAATTAAGCGATAAGCTAGCTAAATACACAACCAACCCCCCTAGACACACACACTCCCTCGCTTATAGACCCGGGGATCCTTTTGCAAAACTGTCAGGAGCTGAAAAGATAGAAAACAAAACAACATTTTCAGCGATGAAGATAACCACTTGGAAACTCATTAGTTGGGGAATTATAATTAGACAATTATTTGGTTTTTAATTTGCCGTTATTATTATAATCATTATTATTATTATTAGCGCTGGAACTGTTGTGATTATTGGATAGAGTGGCAAGTAGTTATGCCACGTATGGAACGACGTTTTTGGGCTAATGCCCCGAATGGAATACCACTTAATGGTTTTAATTAGTTGTCTAAACAAGGCTCTGCCAGAGCTAGTGCCAGTGTGAGTGTGAGTGTGCGTGTGGGTGTGTGAAAGGATAACCATTCATGTCCTAGAGAGCCTTGATGAAGTGTTGGCTCTCCGGTTCCAAATTCATTCATTTTGTGCGGTTTTCCCCCGGGCCAGAAACGGAGCTTATGTCCTGGAGAGCCAGAGACAGAGGGAAACCGCAAGGCAAATGCTGCCAGGACATTAGAACAGATGTTGTTCCCCTCTATGGGTGTGTATGTATATGTATATGCGTGAGTGTGTATTAGTGTGCCCCACACTTCAACTCATTAGCGCGTAAAGAATCTTAACGCTTCAAAATGAATTAATTTTCATCCAATTTGGCGTTGTCACACACAAGTCCGCGACTCTCCAGCATTCTGGCTCGGATAACTGGAACGCCATTGTCGTCTTTTGGCTCATTATGCACCTGCCTCACCAGCACACACCCACCCACACACCCATACAGCCTTACTTTCACCCACCTGGGCCACACACACTCACACCTCCTTCTTTATTTTTATTCCCACCCCTCCCCGTTTCTCATTGTTTAATTTCTTTGCTTTCTTTACTCTGCTCGCTGATTTTAAATTTCGCCGCGCACTGTACTACAGTCCTTCCCAGTGCCTGCGCCGTGTGTGTGTGTGCGTGTGAGTGTCCTGGTGTGTGGCTGTCTGTGTGTATTTAAATCCGATTTGAATAATTACAAATTTCAATTGTATGAAAACCAACGGCAGCACACTGCCAGCAATATGACGCCATATGGAAATGGCATTGAGGGGGCTGGGGGGCGTGCCAGGGGCGGAACGGTTCACGGAGGCAGGAATATTTACCGTACAATGGCGCAGTCATACACCGCGAGAAAAAAAACGATTCGGAAAGAAATTAGAGTGCTTAGAAGCTAAAAAAAAAAAAAAGATAAAAGATAAAATACTGAAAACTAAATAATCACTTTAAAAAAAACTTATTTTAAAAAAATATATAGCTCTCCATAACAATCAAATAGACACATACGAACTACACTGAGTTTCTTTCAGTGTTGCTGCCTTTCACAGTCGCTGGTTACGATGACAAAAATAACAACAACAACAAGAATAACAACAATAACAAAGCTCAAAGCGGCAAGAACAAGGCCAACAACAAAAACAAGAAAGACATGAACAAGAACGACAACGGCTTCTGTTTCTGCCGAGTTAAAGATAAGATTATTACCCACCATACACAAACACACACTCACGCGGGCACACTAAAACACACACCCATACACTCATACAGTCACAGGACATACACAGGATTCGAGGCTCAGTGCCGGGTTGGGATTTATTTTGGTATTTCACATTTCGCGCAGCTTTCTTCTTTCTGCTTTCTACTTTCCCATTGACAGTTTTTTTATTTTTATTTTTTTTTTTTGAATCTTCTTTATTTTATTTTTATGTCTCGTTTTTATATTCTCCGCATTTCAGTTTTGTTCATACAACGGTTTGTGGTTGATAACCTCAATTTTTGGCTTCTTGCTACACAGGTTTTGTGCCCTCATTTTGGTTTGAAGATCATTAGGACATTAGAAGAAGATATAAACAAAAAACTGTGATTTTTATCCATAATAATACACAATTTGTATCACTTAAAAGATTGGAATTTAATAATAATAGCATACATATATTGATATAAAGGATTATAAAGTAAATCAAAATAGTAAAAGGTTTATTAATGGTCTTGCGGCTTCATTCACGAAATATTAATGCTTGTAGGATTTTCTGCAGACTTCTTGCTGATGTTGCATAGTGCGGATGTCTGCCTATCTCTATACATACAGAGCAAACCTACCAAGATGCATAGTGGGTTATGATCACTCATAAAAACACTCTCTTAACCGCAGTTAATATACCGAAAACGTCGTTTATGAAGAAGGAGCACTCACTAACATAAAAGGACTGACCATAAAAGTCCACAACAAGACAACCATTTTAATTAATTATTTTCTCCCAACCACTAACGAATAGCTTCGCATCAGCTCTAACCAGTTTTTAAAAACACCCTTGAATCAGCCATTGATAATCACTTTCTTCATACGATGTAGACCTTTTATTAATTTTTTCAATTTTCCTTTCCTGGCTACATATCCTGGCTACATACCTCAACCTAAAAATCTTACATTCGTTTAATTTAAAGGTTTTTTAATGCCTTGAATTATAAGGATAATATAAGAACAAGAAAGCAAAGCGAACTTCAGGCGGAGCTGTAAATTTATAGGTCGAAACGACTGACCAAAAATAGAATCTGAACGAAGTTCTAACTTTTTATCTTCAAGAACACGAAAGTGTGGTCATAAATACTTTATAGGGTCGGAGATATCTCCTTCACTGCGTTCCACACTTTTGGACAAAATAATATATAGTACCCTCTGCAAGGGTATATTAATAGTGTAGATATATATATTTTGGTGTATGTTTAAACTTTAAAGTGTTTAAACTCTTTAAAACTTGTATAGGATATCTTCATTTAGGAACCCTAAATTCCTGCAGTCATGTACAAGCCTCATACATACAACCCTACAAATTGAATATTCAAAATCCAAAATTTGTTCTCATAAAGTGTATTATAAAATAAATAATAAGAAAATGAATAAAATCACATCCAACATTTTATAGAAAATTCTGTGAAATATATGGGCCCTTGAGTTCAATGAAATGAGCTGCCCGCCAAGAGGGAGCTTTGAGCTGCTGATAGCCGACCGGGAGTATCCTGGCACGTCCTGGC